ATATGTCCTTAGTTCTTACAGAACCTCATAGTTTGAGAACAAATGCTGATGCAACTGATTTATACAAAATGAACTTTGGCAAGGAAAATAACATTAACCTCATTGTTTATGGTCATGCTTTGTGCATAATCAAAGTTTATGATTAAATGTAAGGAAGTGGTATCTAGTCAGTCCATAAAGATTGTGCTAATTTTTTGTGAAAAAGTAGCCGTTAGTTCAGGAGACTCAGTGCTGCCTTCAGATGCCATTGATGCTTCTCCTGTTGAAAAGCTGATGTGTCCAGCTCAACCTTTGTGCTGACATAATACCATTTCTGATCATGAAAATTGGCTACTGGTGTATGTAGCAGTTCTTAAATCAGCAGTATTATGATGAAAGAAAATTTGCCCCTCATTAGAATGTTGAAATCTGTATTTTAAAAAGTGAACAAACTGAAATTCTGTCAAGACCGCAGATATTTAGCTTTTTATGCTATAAAACTCTTCTGACTTTGAGTAATAACTTTTATAGTTATGTCTGACTCATTTCTAGGGAAAAGAATTTGAAGTCCTTCACTTTTAGCAATGTTCTAATTAATAAATGAAGTGGAGAAGAGCAGTCTTATTCTGAAGGTAATTGAATTTAGACTGTAGGATGCGACAGAATTTTTTAAAAAAATTATAAAAATTTTTATTTAGAAATTGGGATTTATTTAAGATAATTTTGAAATAATGCCCCCAAACCTCTCCAGATTTATGCATTATATTTATTGCTATTGGCCACTTCTTTGATTTTTTTTTTTTTTGTTTGTTTCCTCTAATAGTTTCACAGACTTTATTTTTGAATATGCTCCTTTTCTCTTTTTTGGGGTGCTATTCTTTATGAAGGCTTCTTTATAGAGGCCAAATAAAAATGCGTTTTTATGAAGCCTGTGCATTTAGGTAGATTTGAAGCTAGGAGGATTTTCTTTAGAATGCTCTTTTGCATGTAAAGCACAAACTGTTTTCAGTTTAAATGCATGTCTTCCCTTTAATTTTTATGGGGAAGACAAGTGAGTCACAAACATTCTGTTGAAGGGAAATCTAGTCAGTTGCTTGAAAGAGCACAGCCCAAATAAAACAAGGACTGACTAGGTTGTAAAGAAATGACCTTATGATTTAAAAGAAGAATTGCTGCTTTGACAGTGCTTATTTAAAGAAAAATACTGCTGGAAAATTTCCAATTTCTACTACGTTCACCGTCTCTCATGAGATCTGACATATGTTGAAGTTATGTTTTGATTTGGCACACAGCATGTTCAATGATGGTTACTCACCTAGTACAAGACACGGAGAAGAAACCTTGGACACAGAGCAGATGACACCTCCTTCTGTTTTGTAGTGTATCCTGGTGTCATTTTCTGTGAATGTGGTCAGGTAGAATTGTTTCTGTTGTTGGGCGCCTTTTTTTTTTTTTTTTTTTTTTTTTTTTGTCTCTTGGTGGGGTGGGGGTGGGCTAAAGCCATAGGAAGAAAAATGTGATGTATGTGTCCAGTATGTACTATTTTGTTTTTGTTTTGCAAGAAGAGTTGAACTATTTTTGATAACAAGAGTAAATGGTGGAAAATGCTTCTTAGTTGTCTTGTCTTTATTTGCTTTCCAAGATTTGGAATTTTATTTAATTCCTCTAAGTGTTAGCAGTGTCTTATGAAACATGTATTTGCCTAAAGTTTGTAACAGTTTTGTGTTGAACCCAGATGCCCTGCTATATATAAACTTGTAAAATCTGTTCTTTATTCACTAATGATCACTGCAAAAATGACTAGAAATGAGACTGTACACATGGATGATTAGGATATATTTTGCAAATCTCCCAAATTTTCCTAATATTATGATCTTAAAATTCAGAGTACTTTATTGCTTCCCAAGTTTGATAATTTTAGTTTTGTGTTTTTTTGATGCATGGGAGCTTGGCAATATAGACAAAGCGGAAATCGTTAGTATGTGAGGGCCTTGATTGTTATGTAATATTGCCAATGATGAATTCAGGTTGTTTTTAGCACAAGTTTCTCTTTTTTATGCTGGTATTCTCACTGCCACATTTTTGGAAACCTGTATTACACCTTAAATCTATCAATAAATGTTAGTTTTCTAATTCTATGTTGTAGAATACTGAGGAGTCTGGGATAGTATGCTCTGAATGGCCTATATTATATACATTTGGGGGAGAATAATTCTAGTGCCTTGAGTTTTGCATTGTTTTTCTTTATACCATGAGTTACTTAGGAATGCTGACCAATGGTTGATTAGGGATGAGGGAGAAATTATTACTGTAGTAACTGGATTTACTTTATCAGGGTTTGAAACCATCAAAACAGTAACAGCTTTTAATATGATATATCTTCAGTTCTTTGAATCTTTGTTAATATACACAAATGATAGAAGTGTTAGAACTGGCAATTTATCTTTTTGGTTAGATTCATTAAGTCTGCATTTCTGTGCAGAACTATAATGTGGTTCTGGGATAAAGAATTCGTTTTATTTTACTGTGTTCTTAGTGTTCTTGAAACAACTCTATGGTGACCTTGCTGAAGAAAAGCAGTTTTACAACAGATTAAAAACAAAATTTCTTTTCCCATAAGTTACAAATATGAAATGCTTTAGAAAATACTGAGTTCAAAGTACAGTGTCAGAATCTAATACTTGGAATGATATATTAACTTTTCTCCTTTTCTAAAAAAATTGAGTTTTAGATACCCAAATAATAATCAGTTACACATTCTTTTAAAAGAATACATTATATCCAAGGCTAAAAAGTATACAAGGCTCAAGTCCCTTTTGATCCCTCTGATTCCCCATTTTTTAGTCCTCTTCCTTACTCTCCCCAAAGGAAATCACTTCTCAGTTATGAGGTGGTATTATCTTCCTTTATAATTTGCCCAGGAGTTCAAAGAGTTATTCTTTGAAACTCAAGTTTGTTTACAGTGTTACTCTTTCAACTCTTTCAAACATAAAAATGAAGTGCAAGTGTGAGTAAAACCAAAAGTGTGTAGTAGATTATCTTAGTGAACATGGTTCATATTTGACAACTTGTCTCTTTATTTAGTTTTGCAAAAAGGGAAAAACAAAAACAAGTTAAATCATGCAGGTTTCTCCACCCAAACACACTTCTGTAACATTTCCAAAAATTGAGCAAATGACTTACCTCATTTGATTAATCTAGAATTTTATATAAACACTTTGAATTGTACACAATGACATAGATAAGTTGCAGAGAAAATACACAGAATTTCATTAGTTTGATTACCTGGGCAATTAATGTTATGTTACGCTGTGAAACTCATTTTTCATTGAATAGCATTAAGACCATGATAACCCTCTATTTAATTTTTATCAAAGAGCCTGGGTTATTGTAAAAACTTGGAATTTCCAATTGGGCAGTAGTGATTTTATTCAGTGAGATCTTTACCAGAAAGTCAAATATATACTGTTCTAGTTTCTCAATTCACATTTCTTGCATTCAATTCTTAAGAAAGGACTACAGTGAAACACTTATGTCTGAAAATATGATACTCTGGGTAACCTAAATTAAAATAGCTTTATCTTAAATGGAATGATACTGGTAGGTGTTACTTTTTATAATTATGGACATTTGAAACAGACCAAAGTAAAAGCAAGAGGAGTTCAGTAAGGTGACACAGGTAAAAAGATAAAAGCCAAATAGTATTAAAAATCAAATGTGTATTAGAAATTTGAATTTTTATATTTTGCTGATGAGTCTTAGTTTAGATCATTATGGATAATAAAACCTTTAAGCCATACCTGCCTTCTAAAAAAGGTATGTTAAATATTTTATCTGAAATTTTAAAGTAATTGGTTTCTCTCCCTGGTAAAGGGTGGATAGAATAGATGGTAAATTTTGTGTATCACAAATACTTGTAATCCTAATTTACTAGTGTGTTTAGATTATTACATGTAGTGTTTCCTAAAAATTTAGTCATTTTTTAAGCTTTTAATTCTTTGTGAACTATTAGATAACAAATTTTAATATTTATCACTTTTCTGTAACCGTTAAAAGATTAGTTCTGATCATGAAAGGTGAAATAACAGGCAATGGAGAATACTGAAAAGAAGAACTACTGTTACTGTACCAGTTGATGGTACCTTTCCTAAATTGCCCTTATCTCTGTTTTTGCCTATCATAGTCCAAGGTTTGATTATTTCTTTTTTTGACTTTGACATCAGGAGAAACCAAAGCAGGGTGGCAAGGGCAGCAATTCTGACATTCAAGACTAGTGGTTAAAGCAAAAAACCCAGAGGGAAAGGTGATGACTTTGACAGAGATGGATGTTAAAAGTTTCTTGGGGGTTTCTTTTGCTTACACTATTAGAAGTGTCCATCTTTTTTCATAGTTTATTTTCAGTTTTATCTTTAAGGATATTGCAGGATTTGGGTGCACTGTGACTCGCTGAAAAAATGTAGAATTCTGTAATGAACACACTATAGTACAGATGAAATAGGTTTCCTTTATGAGTGGTATCACTGCTTTCTTCCATTCTTTTGATAAATATTGAGGTGGAATATTTAAATAGTAGTTCCTTTTCAACATGAAGGGATAATGTTTACATTTGAGGCTCTTACTGTTGGCTTAATCTAATATTCAGTGATGAATACATCTATTCGAATATCACTAAGTCTTCAAGTAGGCCTTCTGATGGGAAGTATAGATGGGGCGTCAACTAATTTGGAGTTAATGAGTCATTCAGTAATTCTCCACAGATTGTTAGAGAAGTTAAAAGGAAATTTTTTTTTCAAGTATGAGTCAAATTCTGTACTTAGAAGTTTTTCATTATATTTTATATAAGATCCACAGTCAAGATGGGGAGAGATTATTCAGAGCTTGCCAAGATTGGAAGGCCCAGTGGTTACAACACCTGAGGATGTAAAGTGACTAGCAGTTTGGCAGGTCATTGTGAAATTATATTAAACCAAGTAAGTTCAAGATCTTTGAACTCCAGTACACATATTAAAAAGTCTCTGAGATGTTTTGGCAGTGCTTTTATTACCAAGTCACTTCTGGAGGCCCTTAACTGCTTTTTTAAGTTCCAGAATTTTTTTGACTCAAGTTTTCTGCAAGTGAAAGTTTCTTCTGGGTTCCATAGGAGCCCTGAGGGGCCTCAGGGATATTGGGCAACAGAGGCAACTCTTCTGCAGAGAACTGTGCTTGGCACTGTCCCCAAGAGATCCTTGGTACATTCAGGGGTGAAGAGTGCTGATTCACAGACTTTGGAAGGTGATGTATATCATTGTATTTGGAGGAAAAGCTCTGTAGTAGGAGGTTTGAGGCAAATTGGAGGAGTCTCCCAAATTATGTGTATCCAGACCTATTGCTTAAAAATGTTTTTAAAGTTCCTCGTGCAGATACACACTTGCAGAAATCAAAGCCTTTAAAAAGCAGTATGCAAACGAGAATCTCCACAAGAAAAAGACATTTAAAATACGTATCTCTCTTTCACGTAGACATTGGCAGCTACTCTTCATCCACTGATTGAAGCTTTCCACATTTCTCTGAAAGGCTCGAGGTTACTGTTTTACTTTTATTGCCTTTGTTTCCAATTTCAGAGGGAGAGGCAGGTTCCTCTGTTTCATAATCTTCAAAGGAGCTGAAAGAACAAACAAGTGAGTTACTGATTTTCTTAAAAAATTTCAATGTTTGGGTAGGAATCAATATGGCAAACTAGGGGCTGAAGACCACCAGCTTGCAAAAGAAGCTCAGTTGTTAAATGTCAGCTGTAAACAACTAAGCCATTGGAGGAGAAAGTGCTTCCACCTAGAACAGCAAACATTCTCCCTGTTGTTTAAAGCCCAGGTTCATGTGCTGTATCCAGCTTTCCTAGGAGTGCTGGTGGGAATGAAAGCATTACAGGTTAGGCTATAGTGGGGAGGGTGTGCGGTCCATAAAGTACAAGCTTTATATGAATGCCTTCCATGCAGCGGGGAGCCTTCTCACCTCGCAAGTTGCTTTATAGCTTCTCTGGTTTCCAAGAAGTACATTTTGATGTGTAAGTATATACACAGAGCAGATTAAAGCCCATTCATGGATCTCCTATTCCTTACCGAACTTCCCAGCGTAGTCCCTTTGCTTATTCCTCTTAAAAGTTATTGGTATCCCCTGAGTTCCATTACTTCCAGGCTGTCCCTGAGGGTGGCCTTAGGCAGGGATGATAAAATATTTTACCTAATAGGAATGATGGCTGCTTGAAAAAATAAATTGATAAATATGCTGAGGCTACATCTGGACCCAGAAAAATATACATGATAATTACAAATGTCTGATAGAGATTTGGTATCACCAGCTTAATCTTTTCACCCAGTTCGTTGCAAGAACTTTACACAGTATCTGTGCAGAAACTTCTGGACATACAGTCCTTTCATCAAAAAGGCCAGCTAATGAGGAAATCTATGTTGAAGCAGGTATGCCCAGTAGTAGAGGCGGTACCTATTCAACTTTTTTTTCAGAGATTTAAGAGCATGAGTAAGCACTAGTGGGGGGGGGGGGCAGAGGGAGAGGGAGAAGCAGGCTCCCCAGGCTAAGCAGGGAGCCTGATGTGAGGCTCCATCCCAGGACCCTGGGGTCAGGACCTGAGCCAAAGGGAGATGCTTAAAGGACTGAGCCACCCAGGTGCCCTCGCTATTCAACCTTCCAACACATTTTTGAATAGACAGTAGACAATGTTAAAAACAAAAAACCTATCTGATGTTTGGAAAACTCACCCTTGGGTACCAACTTGTAATCCTATCAAAAATTATTTAACAACTTCATTTTGTAGAAATATCCCATTCTATACTTGTTTCTGTTCCATTCTTGCATCACCTTGAGGCCTCAATGTAACCAGCATCTGCTGGGGGAGGCATTAACGAGGGTAACTACTGTAATGGAAGTGAGGCAGGGTTGATGGTCGAGCCTCCATTTCTGGAACAAAATTCCCAAAAGTTAATTCTAGCAATGCAGTGACAGATACTGTGACTGCTTATTTCCTGTCAAGAGTAGAAGACATTTTCTTCCTCTTGATGCTCAAACTTACTGTCTGAGCCCTCAGGGTGTTAAACATTTTAGTGCAGATCTGCAAATAAGTTAGGCCTGAACTGAGCCAAATGCTAGGAATACAATGGTGAAAAAGAACTAGCTGCTTCCTCACAGAGCTTGTAGCCTAATGGAGGCCATCTGGAATAATGGTTAAGTGTTTTATAGCTTTAGAGCATGGGCTTCAGAAAAGTCAGGTTCCAATCTCAGTTTGATCACTTAATGTGATTTTGGGCATGTTACATAACCCTTCTGCATCAGTTTCCTCAACTAATAAGTTAATAGCAGTTCCTACCCTCCAGGGTCAAGTGGACATTAAATCATAAACTCATGAAAAATGTTATTTGCTATTCTCATGATTGAGAATTGCTGGGGCCTACTAGAACAAGATGGTGACACCTAATCCAGTGTTGGAGGGGCAGAATCAGGGTCACATTTTATGTATGTCCATTTGTGAATGTAATTTTTACAAAGGAATTTTTCTTCCCACTGTAGTCTCATACCAGAAACGGGATTTCTAGTAATGGATTTGAACCCAGCCTAGTACACAAAAATATTCTCAAGCCCTGTGGGTCGGTTAGAGTGGAATGCCACCTGAATTTTTTTCATACTTTCAAGGCACCAAGAGCAGTACTATGCACAAAGACTTTGGAGGAATCTTCTGGATTGAGGGAGTTCATTCAGAACCTTTTATCAGTGTTTGGAGACTTACACTCTATCTCAATGTTTCCAAATGGGGGTGATTTGTTCCTCCTGGGGACATTTGGCAATGCCTGGATGCATATTTGTCACAACCGGGTGGGTCCTCCTGGCATCTAGTGGGTTCAGGGATGCTGCTAAATATCCTACAATGTGCTAGATGACAACTCACAACAGAATAATCCAGCTTAAAACAGTACTGTTCAGAAACCCTGCTCTACCTCTTGCCCCTTCAGTGTCAGTACATCCCAGGATTCTGGACTAAGCTCTTCTCATTTTGTATTCTCTTGGACAGTCTTTCTTAAAGCTTTATCCACCACTTGTTTACCTGTGGTTTCTAAATGTACATGTCCAGCCTAAGCTTCTTGCTAATGTGGAGACTGCCATGTATCCAGTTGCTTAGTCTATGGCTTTTCCTCATGGCAATATATACAAAGTTGAACTCCTCCTTCCCACACCCTTGGCTCTACCATAATCTTCCCACTTAAAGCCAGAAATCCAGTAATCCCAAATTTCTCTTCCCTTCTCATTTGCCCTCCCTTCTTCAAATCCAGCCAGTCTCTTCTACCATTTACAATAATACATGGGCACATCTTGCCGCTCCCTCCCTATTGCCACTGATACAGTCCACAGCACTATATTTCATTGCTTGGATTATTGCAATAGTTTTCTAACAACTGGTCTTCCTGCCTTCACTCTTGTCACATACCCTCTGCCATTGTGATACCATGCTATCTACCTTGTCAAAATGGGTTACAGGCTTGGGACCTAGTGCCACTGTATGTGTTCTTCAGTGGCCTGCAGTGCCCTTACCCTTTGGTTAACTTATGTTCATCTTTTAATCTGAAATGGCATTTAAAAGGTCCCTCATTCCTAGTGCCTGAGTAACCACCATTTTCAAAAAAATTCATTTAAATGATCTCTACATCTGATGTAGGACTCAAATTCATGACCCCGAGGATCAAGAGTCACAAGCTCTTTAGGATGAGCCAGCCACGTGCCCCACATCCATCCCTCTCTATCAAGTAAGCTCCATACCCAGCATGGAGCCCAACGTGGGGCTTGAACTTATGACTCTGAGATCAAGACTTGAGCTAAAATTGAGCCACCCAGGCGACCCGTTAAAATTTTTTAAAATTCCAGTTAACGGGGGATCCCTGGGTGCCGCAGCGGTTTGGCGCCTGCCTTTGGCCCAGGGCGCGATCCTGGAGACCCGGGATCGAGTCCCACGTTGGGCTCCCGGAGCATGGGAGCCTGCTTCTCCCTCTGCCTGTGTCTCTGCCTCTCTCTCTCTCTCTCTGACTATCTTATTAATTAAATAAAAAAAATAAAATTCCAGTTAACATACAATGTAATATTAGTTTCAGGTATACAGTATAGTGATTCATCACTTGTATACAATACCTGGTGCTCATCACGAAAAGTACACTTCTTAATCCCCACCACCATCTTTTATTTAGATGCCTGCAAGGGCTTCCTTATTTGTCTCCCTGCTTCTCTTCTTTAACCACTACTGATCTGAAGATTACTATCCTCAAAAAATGTAAGTGGGATTATATTACTTCCTTAACTCTTTTTCAATAGCTTCCCGAGGACCTGCATGATCTGGGCCCTATCTTTCCAGCCACATTTCTCTCTCTTCTCATTATATTCCAGCCATACCGGTCTTTTAAAAAAATGTCCTCAACATGTTTCCTGCCTCAGAGCCACTTACGTTTTTCTTCCTCTACCTAGAACATTTTTGCTCCCTGCTTTTTTCATACCTATTTCCTTCTCAACCTTTAGGCTCTCAACACCTCAGGAAATTTCTTTAGCACCTTAAATCGCAATTCTCTCTCCATTACTGATTTACTGTTTGTTTCCTTCACAATTATATAGTTGTCTTCCTCACTTGACTATAAAGTTTTCATTTTCCAACTCACTAATTTCATTGGGCTACATATAGTATAGTAACTGGCAGTAGGTGCTCAAAATGATGAATAAAAAGTGACGTCCTAATGTGCATTGTGAAATGATGTGTCAAGTTGTCAGGGAAGGGTGGAGTAAAATGGTGTGTGCAGAGGTACTCTTGAAGTCATTGAAGTCAGAACTCTTAAGAGTCTAAATTTTATTCTGTTCTCTAGGAATTTCTGAAGGAGACAGTTAACATTCCTTCTAAATGACCACTTCCAGGTTTACTTGTACGTAACTGGGATTCCTCTGAGCACAATTGAAGGTTATTTTATGAAGTATTCTGTTAATTTAATTGGCTATTTCTGAATGAGTAGCAGGGTCAGAGGATTGAAGCAGAACTCCTACGGTTCACAAATAGTTCACTAGGAAGCTTAGTGTTGAGAACAAATTATTTAACCTAGTATTAACATAATGTTAGCATAAGGGAAAATGACGGGTATTTTTGCTAGCAGTATGTTTGCCTTTAGAAATCTGTTTCCCTAAGTAGTTAGTTTCCCTCTCAGATAAGCAATTTCTGGGCAAAAGTATTAAGGCTGGTTTTGCAGATTCTTGGAATAAATAATGACCAGCACATATATGGTCAAAAAAGGATTTGTGTGGTTTAAGGGTGTTGTCTGGGAATTGTGGTTTGATTCCATTTTTGGGATTCTATTTGTAGGGGTAAAGGGATAGAATATTTGATTTAGGGTTTGAGAAAATCTAAGACATATGCTGGCTATAAGCATAGAATGAAATGTTAAGTAGTTCTTTAATTTGGAGTCTTATAAAACTTTAGAAATAGGAGTGGATGAATTTTACCTTTATAGTTTCAAATTTTAAATCACTTATATAAAATGGATTAACTGAAATTACCTACAAAGTTGGATATTTGGTTTAGTGCATTGCCTTGTTGACCCATTCATTAACTAGAAAATCTTTTGTTTCAAC